AATTTCTGTACACATGAAACCGCTAGAATGTCAAAAGCATGCCAAAACAACAGGCGGCATTATAACTCTAACCGCACTGCCATGTTAGCCAATCAGAAGCCTAATTGCCAGTCCTGTTAAGTTGAAGATCATGGCGCACATTCCGACGCCTGTGTTGATCAATATAATCCGAGAGTGACTCAACATTTATCTGTACACATGTAAGAAGTCATGTCAGCAAGGTTAGCACAAGCACTATTTCGGCTAAGTCCGCCATTGCTCAAACTCGCCTAATGTATACAGCAAACAGCGCACGCTCTGACGTTAAACAACGTGGACAACGGCGCACAATCTGACGTTTCAAGCCAAAAACTCTGTATTAACTGCCTATATGTCGACGCTGAAAACGGAGTTTCTTAAAATCTTCACCCTGGATGGAGTTTTGCAAAAGCTCTGTTTTCAGTGACCTTTTACGTGTGGACAAAAGCCCAAGACGTATAGAAAAATATACCCGTGTACGCGTGGACGAGGCATAGGAGACCCCAAAATGAAAACCTTAAACACTTTACAGTAATGAGATAGACGGATGCTGAGGCCTCAAGCTACATGTGGGCATTAACTCTGACAGATTTAAACTGTTTAATGAGCTGAAGCGAAGCTGCACGCTGTCGCCAGTACTGCCAGGCTCACGGCTGCCCTGCGAGGAAAAGGGAAGCGGGGCTTCTGTCAGACCTCGTTTTCTGATGATGGGCGCTCTCCGGTACCTTCTGTAGCCAAATCCAGATCGCGCAGCTGCAGAACCAACGCGTGATCGGAATAAACGCCACCCGTGAGGGTTTAAGTGCAGAACAGACTATGGGAGTCATGCAGTAATGAGGGCAGGGCAGTGCAAATGGGAGTAGAGTGCGGAACTGAAATATTCTGGTCCACTCCAGTGAAGCACTGCATCCTGGCCCAAAGCAGACTCCTATTTGCTTTGCCAAGCCAGGAAGAGAGCCAGACCTCTAGACCTTTTCCTCATATTTGATTGAAGTGTCGGACCTAAGAGTTTGAACAGGCACTCGGATGGTCAGTAGTTAAAACATGGGCAGTGAAATGGACTGCATATGAGAGCCAATCAGAGAAGCTTCTGCCTAGTGGTGAAGCATAGGTTTTACTATGTGCACAGTTAATGCAACAGGAATGACATTAAGACTGATGGGATTCGGCAGATCTTCACAATGTGCATGCATGGAAGATGCTGGACATTCTGCGTGCATATTATCGATTTGCATTAACCTGAAATCCTAGCTCCATTTGACAAAATAAGACCAAAAGGATCTCTGCAACGTCACAGTTATTTTGGTCCTTGGAGAAGCACAACTGTCTAAATCTGCTGCTCAAAGTGCTCCTCTGTTTAGCCAAGATAACCTGCAGAGGACGAGAGTCAGAGACTGATGAGATGTTAACTGCCTAAGGCACTCCAGAGAATTCTACAGCTGTATGGAAGCACCCGGTTTCAATAACTAGGCATGTAACTATTCACCCAATTCACGATTCAAGTCAATTCATGATGTTGGGTCCACAATTCGATTTTCTCACAATACTTTTGAAAAAAAAATTCTGAAACATTCAGTGTTCACAACATTATAAGTCAGCGTTGTCTTGCAGTATTTGCAAATGGTTATTTTGTTACCTTGTCTCCTTTGTCGTTTGACGACACATGAAAAACAAAATGTTTCCAGACCTCCAGTTTAAATGAGGATGAGGTATCAATTTGAATTTGATGCATATTTGCGCTCGCCATTCCATAGTGTTACTTCTGAAGAATGCGTTAGTTGGTTGCTGAATCTTCTGCTGTCTAAACACCACATTTAAAGGTAGGAAAAACATTATGCACTCTAATTTGAGCTATTTCCCAGTTTGATTTCTTTTTCCACAATTTGAATCATCGTAAATTTGTACTGCGATTTATCATTGCATGATATAGTTACATGCCTATCGATAAGTTTCCTGACAATCCAACTGCTTCCTTCATTTTGGTAGCCGGATTGCTGGTTGTAGAAGAAACCAGAAAAAAATGCCAAATTCTTCAAACATAGATCTAGTTTGGATTTAGTCTAACAGCCTAAGAGAGATGACAGGATGATCCTCTTACCTCTGGTGCCATATTCCTAAATTAATTTTGTGATTATGTAGGATTTAGGAGAATACCACGTACCTTCCCTGGATACAGTATCAGTATCTATGTAAATCATGACACCTTAATGAATTTGTCTTGAGAACATTTACTTTGTGAATTGAAAAAAAGAACAATAGTATTCATTTGATGATCCAGATAATGGATTTTCATAATCAAGACAGATTTCATTTTGAAAGTGTCAGTCATTTATGGCTTAATGCTTGTCTGCTTATCTGGATCTTCCAAGAACATAATTCTGTACTTCTTGCACATTTATTTTTCACTTGAGCTGCTACTAAAAAAACAGGTAGATGGAATCTTTATTTCTTAAGATTTTTTTTTAAAGAATAAGACTTGGACCACTGCAAACAGGCAGAAAGTATTGAACAAAATCACACAGGAATTGAGTGTTTACTTATTCTCACCAAAAGCTACGCTTTCAGTTTTTAAGGTGACAACTGGAAAATAATTTTTAACTATTGATGAAGATATTGATGTTCTTTTGCCATAGTCAAATTTACCTATGGACTTGCACTATTTAAAATAAAGTGCAATTAAATTAAAATTAAATTAAAAACGACCAGTAGAACAATGTTTATAACGAATATTATAAAATTTATGGGTAAAAAATGTACCACAAAATGTTATCACAGAACAGCATTGGAATCACAGAAAATGGAGGGTCTTAAGTGTTAACCATGAACATGGACTTACACTCACCTAAAGGATTATTAGGAACACCATACTAATA